AGGCTTAAATATTGTGGTTTTTCTCTTATATGAGAAACTCACAGTATATATAAATTAAAGAGCAAAATAAAAATAAATAATAGGAAACAGGAGACAGATCTTTTGCAAATGGGAAGGGAACCAAGACAGGGAGGAGGGAAGGAAAAAGGATAAAGAGGAAAGGGAAGAATTAAGATGTATTATGTACATGTACCATCATCCACAATGAATTTAATCCTATACTGCCAATGTGTACTTATAAAAATAAAAATTAAATTTAACAAAATGATGATTTTAAATTGGCCACAGTAATATAACCCTGTAATTCCAGCTACTGAGCAGGCTGAGATAAGAGGGTTGTAAATTCAAAATCAACCTGAACAACTTACCAAAACTGACCCAAAAACTTCAAAAAGAGCAGAAGGGTTAAGGATATAGCTCAGTGGCAAAGTGCCCTAGATTCATTCCCTAGTACTGCACAAAACACACACACACACACACACACACACACACACACACACACACACACTCTCTCTCTCTCTCTCTCTCTCTCTCTCTCTCTCTCTTTCTCTCTCTCTCTCTCTCAATTATTTGGAACCTAGAAGTCTAGAGCCTAAATGTAATACTATTTCTACTACCATTTTTCCCTTGAAGTACTAACCAAGTTGGCTGAGCTCTAGTAAGAGTGATAGTAAATGTAACGGCAGTCAAGAAGAAAAACACAGGGCTAGGGATTTAGCTCAGTGGTACTGTACCTGCCTTGCAAGCACAAGGTCATGAGTTCGATCCCTAGTACCACCAAAAGAAGAAGAAAAAACACAAATAACTACTTTGTATCAAGTACTCTGATGTTAGCTCCCATATTTGCTTTATATTAAGATTTGTATCACAGTTGACAGCCTCATCTAGACCTTAAAACTGACAAACTCATCTTCACAAGAAGCCTTCAACAATTTAGTCTATGTTTATCAAGGAATCTACAAAAAAGAAATATTTACTAACAACAAAAAACTCAAATTTTAGCCAGGTGTGGTGGCTCATGCCAGTAATCCCTAAAGTCAGAAGGCTGAGGCAGGACAATCACTGAGTTCAAGGCCAGCCTGACATACACAGTGAGTTCAAGGCCAGTCTGGGATACACAGTGAGACACTGACTCAAAAAAAACAAACAAAAAACCCACAAAACAAAAAAACCAAAAACCGAAACTCCACTCAAATTTCTTACCATAGCCTGCTTTTAATAAACTTATTATAGTTTGTACCTATAAATCTGAGAAAAACACAGAAAATAATCTCATTCATATATCTATATTTTATAAATACATTTTAAGTAAAAATGTTTCTTTAGTTTATTTTTGGAAACTACTTAACTTAACAAAACATAGGGGTTCTGCAGCGTATCATTCCTCACAGAGGAACTGTTCTTAACTGCTGAGTGAGAAATAAAAAGGGAACAGAACACCTATTTATCTTGATCTGATTCCACAAGTTTTTACAAAGTTCATTTCAAAGACTGAGAACTCATCTAGTCTGGCAATATATTAGATGTGTAGTTTATAATAAAAATAACTTCTGACCTGGCATGGCAATGTGAGTGAGCCTATAATCCAGGCACTCAGAGGAGGCTGAGGCAGGAGGATTACATGCCCAAAAGGAGTTTGAGATTAGCCTAAGTAACACACTAAGATCCCAACTCAAAAATTTAAATAAATGAAAGTAGCTTTTTAACACCTCCATTAAAAACTGACAAACACTGAAAAAGTCTAAGAATTCCAGAGGCAGATTCCTTGATCCCGTATAATACACTTCCCTCACCTTCGATAAATGACAGCTTGTTCAAGCTACACTGCTGCACTCAGAGGTTTCAAGATGATCATGCACAGGTTTGCCCAATAAGCAGTTTGCTTTCAACTTACTGTAGTAGGAGAAAAATTAAATTAGTGCATTGAGGGAACTATGGTACTACTTAATCAGTATCACAGGATTAGGATGACTAGTACTTAAAACCTACTTAAAGTACAAAAGTGACTTTGAGAAACAGTGTCCTCTAAGCAAAAATTATACTGGAGATAAAGGTCATCTAATACAATCAAAACTTCATAAATTCTCTTAGCAATGCATAATAATCTCTACAAAGTCTCCCGTGTATGGTTGAAGATAGCCAGTGCTTTGTTGCCTACTTCTTAAGGCAAATCATTTCTCTATACTTTTTGTTTTGAGACAGGCTCTCCTTATAGTTCAACCTAGCACTGAAGTCACTATTTGGCCCAGGAGGACCTTGAACTTGTGAATTGTCCTTTCTTATCCTCCTAAGTGCTGGGATTATAGGCATGATCCACCACAGATGGCACCATTCTCTATCTTTAAGAGACTGAACTGGTAGAAACTTAAATTATCCTAACACCACCACTGTGTTGTATAAACCTTCTAGATACAGCTTTTACAATATGAGAGCTATTAGCTGGGTGTGGAGGCACACATCTATAAACCCAACAGGAGGATTCTACGTTTAAGCCTAGCCAATTTAGTGACTTAAGGAAACCCTGTCTCAAAATAAAAACAGTGTTTAGCTCAATGAAAGTCCTGAGTTCAATCCTGAGTACTGAGAGAAACAGAGAGGGTGAGATCTAGATCAAGTCTTTCAAGCTCAAACTCTGTTCTTTCTATTACTTTTCATTATGGTTTACATTTAGACTTTGAGTTCTACCCTGAACATGCACCAGCTCTTGCTGGTATTGTTTTTCAAGGAGACAGAAGACAAGAATTCAAGCAGCAAAAAGCCAATTCAGGGGCTCCATCTTTTTTTTCCCCCCCTCTCAGTACCGGGGACTGAACTCAGGACCTTGTGCTTGCCAGGCAATCGTGACATCAGAGCTAAATCCCCAGCTTGCAAATAGCCAATTCAGTACAACTACAAAATCATCTATTTGGCTATCGCATTCTATTTACTCATTTGAATCTTACTGAGCATAAAAAATCTTTAGTGAACCTGTGTACAGTGGTGTGGGCCTGTAAACCCAGCTACTCAGAAGGCAGAGACAGGAGCACTAGAGTGCTTTGGAATCAACCTGGGCAACATAGCAAGACTCTTTCTTTCTTTCTTTTTAATGTTTTTAAATCTGTTTATTACTGTTGCAAGTCATATATATACTCCTCCAGGTCTCTTCAATGTCTCTTCCATCCAAAGAACTTGTTTGATGTCTTACTGAAAGAGGCACTTTATGTTCTTAAATTCATTTTTCTAATGATCATGAAGAATTAAACTTTAAAAGGAGTTATCACATCAAGTCATAATGACTCTTTCTAGGTTCTTACATCACCAGCCTTTTACTACCCAAGATCTTTGTCCAGAAGCATGACTATTTTCTAGGTCTTGCACTGACTGTATTTTATAGTTCTCTCTTTTTAAGCATGTGACTGAAATTCACCTAATACTAAGCTTCCATTATCTTCTTTTTCTCAAAGAAAGTTTAGCTATCAATGTTTAAGTTGTCAACACTGAAACGTTTTCATCAATTATTTAGAGCAGATAATTTTGTTTTTTTTGTGGATGATGGAGTTATAACCTTTTACTATATTTCTTTCTTATCAAGAATTCTTTCTTATCCCCATTAAGAAAACTGGCCAAATAAACACTAAGGAGTATACTTTGTGCTCTAATATTATACCAAACTCAAGTATTGGACCTATCCCTTGGATGGTCTTATTCCAAAACTATCTTTAAGGGCCTCTAAAGCTATAAAATTTCATAAATCTTGGTTTATCCATGTTCACATCTTCTTACCCTATCTCTTTTTTCAAATCATTCTTCACAATATTTTTTGCCAAACAACCTTTTCTCCCAGTACCAGGAATGAATCCAAGGGCTTCACACTGAGATACATCCCACAGCCCTTGTACTACTACTATCGTCATCTTCATCATCATCATCATCATCATTTTCAACAGCATTTCACTAAGTTGTCTACGCTGGGCTCCAACATGATCCTCCTGTCGCAGCCTCCTGGACTACTGGGATTACATGCATGCAACGTCATGCCTTGCAGCCAAACAACTATTTTATTGACTACAATGAGGTCTCAGGTAGTAGTTTTCCTAGTTATTTATCCAATTCACCAAGATACAACTCAATAAAGAACTTAAACACTTACTTGTTGACAGGAGAGAAGTCTCTTACCACCATAGCAACTTGCCTCTATATCAAGGAATTTATAAATCCGGAGATTGCTTAATATCAACAAACCAACTCGAGATCCTTTCTATGCCATTCCCAATTCACCAGTGTTGCCAGTCCTGGACAATCCTGTACTTTAAGACTCACTGTTGGTTCTATTATAGTCTATTATGATTAAAGAGCAGTATGACAGCTCGTTCAAAATAAGCAATGTTGATAGGTCAGCCACAACCACAAGAAGTATCAGTACTGTAAAGGTTAAAAGAGATTTACTTTTGACCTTTTCCATATATCCTGGAAATATGAACTATATAATCCCATAAACATGTTAAAAACGTTTAATTACACCTTTCAAATAGGTAAATTACCTTAATAAAAAGTTGTCTAAAACACCTTTACCTCATTCTAATAGTGATTATACTATGTTTCAAATACTTTTCTTTTCTTTCTTTTTTTTTTGGTACCAGGGATTGAACTCAGGACCTTGAGCTTACAAGGCAGACAGGCAGTGGCACCACTGACCTAAATCCCCAGCCCTTAAATACTTTTTAAAATATCGCTAAACTACCCATCAAAAATATCTAATATAACAAAGAGACAAACAGAAGTCTGAACAGCATTGATTAAGCTAGCTATTAAAATGGTAAACACAAACCACTTAAGAGCCAGAGATGACTGAAAATTAAAGTCCATCCATAATTAGAAAACTCACCAAACAAAGAGAAATAAAAAGTAATAGATTGAACATGACCTCTGACTGATTTCTTCAGCAAAGACTAAAGTAATCTTGACATGCTCGGCTGTGCTTCTAAAACAAAAACATGAAGTCCTCAAGCATGAGCACTTACTCATCATACTCGATATGATAAATAACGTCTTCATCAGCAGCAACACAGTCTGAATTAGACGTAGAGGGGGCACTGTCCAATTTATGTGTGTTCTCTTTGGAATTATGATTTACATTTCCATTAGTCCTTTTATAAGAACTGCCATTCTTCAGTGGAGTTTTGCCACGTGAATGTCCATCAGAAGCTCTAGTAACACTATGTATATGTGCTTCAAACCAAGCACCAAGGCCGACATCTCTGGCATCCACCAATTCATTTACCTAAAAAAAGTTTAAAATCAGTTAATGAAGCTTAATTTCACCTACTGCTTCAAAAATCTTAATATAACTCAAGCTACTTAAGAGTTATCATGGTAAACATTAACGTTAGCTACTCATATTTAAAGTCAGTGAAGAGATTAGATCAAAACTATTCTTTCTGGATTACGCTATCATAAACCTGATTTTTACTAATGTGAAAGATAATTTTCCTCCCAATTTCACTCAATGAAATAGGTTTTTAATTACTCCATACCCATGTCTATGCTATATTTTTGAAAATATATTCTTGCGTTTCCAAGAGTCACCCTACAAGTCACCTAATGGGAATGTCACCAATGAAAAGCCAGAAGTTTAAATTATAATTGTGTTAAAAATGTATTAATTTCTTCGTAACTCTAAAGAATTTACATAACAATAAAGTATTAAACAGAAAACAAAACTTGAGACAGATTATGCATAAGAAAGAACAAAGATAAAATATAAGATCACATGGCACACATTTGTTATCCTAGCACTCTAGAAAGCTGGGGCAGGAGAATTACAAGTTTGAGCCTACCCTGGCAACTTAGTGAGACTCTGCCTCAAAAATAAGAACTTCTTAAAGGAGAATGGGCATGTAGCAATCAGTGAAAAAGGCTCTGGGTTCAATTTCCAGTAGCAAAAAACAAACAGAACAACAACAAAAAAATCAAAACCAATGACAAAAAACAGACAAAAGTCCAATGGATGATCCAGAACTAAACTCTGTAACCTAACAAAAGAAAAGCAGCATATTAAAACACATGTATGCTAGAGAATTAAGAGTTACAAAATGGAAGTAGGCTAGGATTATATATATCACTGGTACATCACTGGCTTAGCATGCGCTAAACACTAGGTTCAATTCTTTGGCACCACAAAAAGGACTGACAGAAAACAGGGGAGGGGGAGAGACAGAAGGAAGAAAAAATGGAAGCTGGTTTAAAAAAAAAAAAAAACTCTCCTAAAATAACACAGAACATTGGTCTAAAAGTTTTAAATTCTTTCAGTACAATAGCAAAGAAAACCCTTCAACCACCTTTTGTCTTTTCTTGTGTGTATACACACAAGTATGGGTGTCAGGGAACTAGGGACTAAACTCAGGGCCTTTATGCACTGAGTTTCACCTCTAATCCCTTTTTATTTTAAGTATTATTCCCGGTTCTTTCCGCAGTTCCTAAGGTAGGTTTTAATTTGGAATCCTCCTGGCTGGGTAACCTACAGTGATGGGATTATAGGCGTGTGAACCTACACCCCACTTTTTTCAAAAACCTTTTAAAAGAAAAACAAATCAGCAGCACATGGTCATCCTCTCATCAAGCCAGCTCTTCTCTGAATGTAGTGCCACTGAAGGTGCGTAATATAATTCTGACAGATGGCATAGCATGGAGAGGAGAATATATACTAAAAACTAAATACCAGATATTTAATTACCCAATTAAATGCCAGATATTATCCAAAATTCCTTAGTTAGGAATTAAGCTTGTCAAGGTCAGACAAACCTATTTTATAAAATAAACAAAAGACTGATAAGTTAACTTGCTCTAAGTGACAAAATCTGAAAACATGTTGACCTTGAAATTAATGTTTTTGATATATTAAGAAGCTTGCGATGGTGACAAGATGGGTGAATAGGTACTTCAAAGGTAAGTGATGAACTCGGCAAAAAAATATAAAGAAAAAGTTTCAAATTTCCATCCCCAAAGTGACACAGAAGGTAGAGAGAGTACAGAAAGACAGAATATTAACTTTCACTATGAGAATACAATATTTGACTGAAGGAAATATGTATCATGAACATATACTAATGAAATAGCATGAAAGACACACTAAACACAAGTGTGAAGAGTTTAGAAGAAAAGAAAAAGATCCAAGGGCGAACCAGACTAGGTATGACAAAGAATCAGGGATGGAACATGTTACAAACTGAATGAATTAATTTATGTATTAAATGGACATAAGCACATTTCTTCCACACCAGTCACTGACAAATTTAGAGACATTTTATTCATTTATTTGTTTTTTGTGGTAACAGGAATCGAATAGAGACATTTAACAACTCTTGTATTGGTCAGAATGTGGTCCCAGGTAAACACAGCTAAAGCAAATAATCAATATTAAGGTCTATGATAACTTGCAAAAATAAACTGAGGTCATTATTCTTTCACAGAAAATCAAAATGTAAAGTTTCATATACGGCACAACCACAAGTATTACTATAGCAGAGAATGCAGCATATGGTTGATTAACAGCAAAAACATATTAAGCAATCTAAGTAGTGGAAAGAATACTGAATTTGCCTGTGAAATAGAAAACTACATGAAGACCTACTACCTGATACCTCAATGTCTGGCAATTACAATGAAGAGAAATCAAAATCAACATAAAAATGTCAATGCTTAAATATCACACAGAAAAAAAACTTATTAGATCATAAAGTGGAGTAAATCTACAATGATAACTGGATACAAGAAGTACAAGTTTTTATTATCCTGTCAACTACAGTGAACTATTCACAATAATGCATAAAAAAGTTTTTACATACTATATGGACACACTAAGTATGGCCAAATTTAAATGGGTCAAACCACACATAAGAGACTAAAACTCATATAGGCTGGGTTTTGATACCAATTTAGGAAAAAAAGTTTAAACTGTTTAATTCACATGAAAACAGTACATTGCCATAGTAGCTTTTCAAGTCACCTAGCAAAAATTAAGAACTGAAGTAATTAGCTAGAACACAGTAGCAAAAATGAACAGACAAGCATGACAAAAGAAATAATGGATATATGGGAGTGTCTCGACTGCACCCACAGAATTTTTGCTTATGGAGGTAATTAAAGACAACATTTTGAGAGGATAAGGTCATTGAAAGAAGAACTGCTCAACATTTCTGAAGAAGGGCATGCTAAGCTACATAAGGAAGCACTGGGTTTGCTTAGGAGGCAGAAGAAACCAGAGAAAAGCACAGTCTTTATGTTTTCCAAGAAAAGGCAGGGCAGGTAGGAGAAAAAACGTCAAGATTAGCTAATTTGAGCAATACTGGTAGGCTATGGGCTATACAGGTGCATTCTGCTTTAGATCTGAGGTGTTCCCAAAGCTCCCATGTATGTGGAAAGCGACTGGATCATAACAGTTCTGTACTTATCACTGGATTCATCCACTAGTGAGTTCTGCCACTGAGTGCACCACTGCAAGGTGGGACCTGGTTGGAAGAGGAAGCAGCCTGGAAGGGTACAGTTTCCACCCAGGCTGCTCCCATCTCTCTCTGCTTCCTGGAAGCCATGACGTAAGTGAGCCATGCCATTTCTGCTTGGAGTAGGCAGGCCATGGACTAAAAACAGGAGCCACGTGGGCCAGAGATTTAAGCTCAGTGGTTCCACTGCCTACCTTGCAAGCACAAGGTCCAGAGTTCAGTCTCTGGTACCAAAAAAACACAAAAACCAGGAGCCAAAATAAACTTCTCCTCTTTTAAATTGTAGGTGTTGGGTATTGCATCTCAACAACTAAGAGTGATTAAGACAGACTAGTTGTCTGGTACCAGGTCCTGGATGATCTGGCCAGAGGAATAATGTCTTGGTATGTAAAAGTTTGATAAGGGAGGTGGATGGACTATAACTCAGGATTGGTTACCTTGCATACATAAGACAGGCTCACTTGACAAGTTGTTGACTATCTCCAGAAATGAGAAAGCCTTTTCAATCCCTAGCAACAAATAAAAAGCAAAAAAATCCAAACCAAACCAAAACAAAACAAAACAGGAATTACCCAGCCCTAAGAAAGTCTCTTCCAAGCCATCAAAGTCCCTGAAAGATGTCAAAGCAGTATAAAATATACAACATTTAAAAATACACGGAAAAGTTGGTTCAGAGCTGAAGTCATGGGGGGAAAAGCCAATCACAAGAAATTACATTTAACACTTTCACTACCGAGCTGTAATTCTTAGGTCTCGCCGCTGTGTGGCTCTGAACCACCCGGGATACACGCTTGACTGACCTATTAGGCAGCATGGGACAATCACGCACGTACAGAGGATGGTTCAAGCCAGTGGGAATGTGTTAAGAGATCAATTTATTCATATCAACCTAGTATTCCCCTTGTAGATATCTTCCCAAAAGAATCAGACATCACATTACAGTGATACACTCATTTTTATACCAGCACAATTTATAACATGTAACTCTTAAATGTGGCCTATATGTCCACCAACAGAGAATGGATAAATAAAATGTATTTATATGGAATGGAGCACAATTCTGCCACGAAAATTGTAAAACTTGAATTATGTGTAGAAAAAAGGATGTACTTTGAGACTGTAAAGTTACAGGAAATAAATCAAGATACACAACCTTAAAACATCATGATTTCTCTTAATGAGAAACCCAAAATATAAATAAAGAGTAAAATATATGGGCCAGGGATTTAGCTCAGTCGGTCTGCCGCCTGCCTCACAAGCACAAGGACCTGAGTTTGATCCCTGGTACCAAAAAATAAAAAGAGTAAAATATATGATATATGATAATAGGAAGCAGGGAGATAGATCTTCCTCAAATGGGAAAGGATCAAGAGATGAAGGAAGGGGAGAAAGCGGGGGCAGCAGATGAAAAAAAAGATGTGTCAAGTACCTGTACCAACTCCCCATACGGAATTGTAATCATTATGTACTGCAAACATACTAATTTTTAAAAAGTAAAAAAATAGATATAGCCACGCAGAGGAAGTCTTCCAAGTCTAAATAGGTGATATTTAAGGAAAGTAAAAACAAAAGGATGAAAAAAACAAGTATGGGACACAAGGAGGAATAATTAAAAAATAAAACAATAATATCAAACACCAAATACTGGAGGTTTACTCTATGTTGAGTTTATTTCTAAACATTTGATTAGTACAAAAATTCCATCTCTGAAGATAAACCTGTTCAAGTCCTTGACCAAATAGTGCTGAAAGTTATCACAGTAAAAGAAGATACTAAAAAGCCA